CCTCTGTTTTGTTGGGATAATACCACCAAATACCTCCCTGAATGTGTCAAAAAGTAACTATGATGTTATGGCCAGTCTACTTTGAAATGATTATAATAAAACTAATATCAAGATGGTACATTTGGACTTACTACTTTCCCCCTTCATGATGTGGTACTTTTTATATGATAAAAATACATACATGAAACAGTGATGCTAGACTTCATGGACATTCAGCATAATGAAAGTGTAACTGGGCAAAGGAAATTCACTGTGTGACTCAGGAAAATGTCACTACTGGTTAATTGGGCAGTACTGTTTAAAAAGAACAAGGTTTTTGAAGGAAATTATCTTATTTTTTTCTAGTAAGAAAATGCCTTTGACTCTTCAAACTGCTAGACAAGGTGGCAAACTGATAGCTCAGAGATTTAATTCAGTTCAAATATATGCAAATGATTTAAAAACATGAGATAGCACATGAAATTTGGGTACTGGCAAATAAAAAACCTTGATCTACTCTTTTTTTTGAAGACTTGGAGTTTCTGGTAATGTTGAGAGATGTGTTCTTACATGGCAACAATCTCCTGAAAGAGGGCAGCCTTCAGGCAAGCTTTGTATCCTCTAACTGGACACAGTTCCAGCCTCTCACTCCTTGTGCCCATGTGCCCATGCACCAGGTGGACTACCTCACGTATTTGTATTACCTTCCAGCCATTGTAGTCCTTACAGTTCGTGTTCTGTTCTAGAAAAGAGGCGATGCTCAACTTAACTAAAGAATTCAGGACAAACTCTCACCATTCTCAAATGTGTATTGAAACTATTGCAGTAGCCTATGTTTCTACCTTAAAAATCTCTTAGAATCCTTGGTTTTAAAAGGAGTGGGCCTGTCTTACTACGACAGTACTGATACGATTAGAACAACTTTTTCTACCATTACCTAGTTTGTGGCTTTCAATAAAGATTTGCTGGAAATACAAATCACAGTCTCAGTGCTTTTATTGGCAAATAGGGCCGTGTTGGTGAACTGATACAGTAATTGAGCTTTTATAGCCATGAACACTCCAATTTACAATTATTTTAAATGTAAAGATTTTGATTAGGCATTTCCAAAAATGAGTGTGATTAAGTAATCTAAGAAACAAGGAAATGCCTTATAAATCTAGGGATGATTTAAAAGCTTTCTTATAGTTATTCAGTATTAGAAACCTAGTAAACCTTGTTCCTGGAATTGATCATCTGTAAATAAATAATTACCAAGAAACTGTAGGACTATAAATACTGTAATCACCATGAATTCTTCATTGAAAGCATCTAGAATATATTGGTAAATCTTATATGTAAGGGGAACCCTTAAAAATACCTGAAAAAACAAACAGAGGTATATGTATCATGTGATATGTGAGCAAGAATACATCAGTATTTCCACTGATGGTCTTAAAATAGTAAGTTCAACATTCCTTAAATAATATTTTCCCCTTTTGTGGTACAACAATACCTTCAATACAATAGAATGTTAGTCTAGTCTTGTAGCTGCTTGATAACTTATCAACCAACAATTTATGCTGATCAAGAAGTAAGGCTAATTTATTTGGCTTTTAGACTCTTGAGATTAGAAATATTTGGTTAAATTACTTGTTGAGCTGGGAAATCAATTGCACTTATGTATTAATCTTGTTTGGGTCCTCTTTCAAGTGTGGCTGTATCTGTTTTTATAATTTGTCTACAATGCTGTGTGGCCTGAAACCCCATTAGGACATAGAGCCAATTTTTTGTGTGTATAAGAGTACGTGGGCTACCAATTTTCTCAGTACCTGAGGAACCTGTAACGCTCCTGCAGTCCAGCTCTGCAGTAAGAAACCTGTTAGCATGCATCTGTGAGATGCCTACATGCCAAATGAAAGTGAAAAGTAAAGTAAATATAGGGGAGAATCTATGACTTCAAAAACTGTTTTGTCACTCCTGGATTAATTGATTACATCAATCAAAATTGTAAAAAATCAATGTGTGTATATGTATTTTATGAGTTCCTTTATACATTGAGTTCAGGTCCATCTCGAGAGAAAAAGGAACTCTGAAAATAAGGCTAAACATTCTTATGGTACAAATTTTATCAAGCATAGAATTTTAGAGCTGCAGAGTTCTTCTATTTTATAATACAATTCTTTAGTATGAAGTTAAAACTTTGCTTTAATAGAAAACTATGCTAAAACTAATCTTATTTACTTTTAACTTTGAGAAAAACATATTTCCCCACTTTGAAATACATTTTCTGTAATCTGTCACTGTCCTTCTTCATTCATTCATTTTTTTCAAAATATATTACTGAGTAACTCATATGCCAGGCATTCTTCTGAGTACTAGGGAAGCATTAGGGAACAAGAACTCATAGCTGGGATTACATTCAGGTATGTGTCTGGAGGGAGAAGACTTATAAATCAGTAAGCTATGTAGTATGTTGGAAAATGGTTAGTGCTGTAAAGTGGATGAGATGAAATCATCGAGGAAGCAAGTGTGCATAACAAGGTGAAGAGGGCAAAACTTGAGCCCTGCGGGCAATTGCATCACTGAGAGAGAACTTTGTGAGACTGTGGTGGAAATCAACCTTTATCCATTACCCATTTCACAAAATGCTAGTAAATGTCAGCTTCATATTTCTAGGTTGGCTGAATAATAAAAAGACAAAATCTCACCTTCATATCCATATTGAAAAGATACTTTTATCAAATGATAGAAAGGATAGAAAGATACTTTTATCAAATCTCCTGTAAGCAAGGTCCTAAAATACTGACTCCTTAACTATGCTTTATTATTGCTCCACGTGACAAGGAGGGCTTTTTACTTTCATTTTCTAGCTGGAGCAATTTAGTCATTGAGGTTTCAGTTATATGATTTTTAACGGAAGTTGGGAATGAGCCATCTAGTTTGAGGAAACAGTTACAAATCAGAGTACCTTCCTAGTCTAAATCCAGCCTCTTTTAGGAACTGAAGGGCACTGGTCACCTTTCCTCTGATTAGGAAACATTAATAAACTCCTAATGAGCAGGATGACTGCTCAGATTTCCACTTCTGGTGCTATCAGATACTGTTGAATATTTTATAACGGCTGAAATTATTCTCCATTACAAGCATGTGCTGCACGTACAACTAATCAAGTATTTAGCCAGGGCACACCACCTGTAAAAGAGGAGACAGCCCCTTAATACGGGGCTCAGAGTTTTCAGATAACTTGTAAAATTTTCCCTTGGAAGTTTGTGGAATGTGTGACATTGCTGTTCACTACATTTTACAAGAAAAATAGTAACAAATAATGTCAGCTACTTTATCTCAACTATTTTATCTTTTCCTTGCTGAAAGCCTCTAATGGAATTACCGTCTTTTTAGCTAACCAACTTGTAGGGTATGTGGGTAGTGGAATTCAATATTTATGAAATGCTCATTTTCTCGTAGGATTTTTTTTGCTGTAAATGACAGAATTTATTAATTGCTACTTGAACTTGCTGAATTTCCATTTAACTTTTCAAATGGTAGGGAACATGGCAGATATGCATTCAAAGTAAAACCTGAAACATCCCCTGAAAACATCTAGCTCAGAAGCTTCATTATAGAGTAAAACAACCTCTGGGGAATGAGGAAAAGCTGCCGTTCCTGTCAACATAATTAGGAAGGCCTCAAAAGGGGTTTCCTAGAAGCATTTTTATGTTTTTAATAAGAGTTAACAAAAAATACAAGGAATTTTATATTGATGGCATTTGAAAAGTCGGCAGATGCATGTCTCTCGTATTTACTCCTGAGTAGAATGGCATTACCACTATGCTTGTTTATGGAGCTGACACTGCCCCGAAAAACGCGAACTTGGATTTGTTTGGTGTAGAAAGCACCAAACTCTCTCTCAGCGTTAAACAGGAGATGGAAGGCAATGTGAATAGCTGCTGGCTGTTATTTTTCAGTAGTTATAGTAGCTTTAAATTCGCTTACCATTTAGGGAAAGAGTTGGTTTCAGGGGATTTACTACAAATCTTAAAAGGCTGAACTCTTGGATTGTAATCTCGGTTCACAGTAGCCATAGGCAGCTTGCCTCTATCACAGAAGCAATTGAGAACGTAAATGTTGTTAAAGTACCCTGAGCCAATTGAGTAAAGTGAAATTTTATAAAGGTATCAGCTAGTGGTATTACTGATGAAATAATGTGCTTTTTTCAGGATAACCATTATTATTAAACAGTCAATAGAATAATATAAATCTACACAATGGGCTTCAGTCTTCCCCGTAGTCATCCCTAAGCACAGTAGTGCATGAAGGAAGCTTTGCTATGGTCAAAGTATCTCAAAAGCTTCCTCTGTATCACCCAAATCCCAGCTTCCCACTTTTCTTCCCAATGAGAAATCATAGTAGCTATTGGGGCGAAATGCTTAGATGACGTCCAAACCCACTCCAAGATTCTAAAGGCTGGTGGAGGCCCGTAAACAAAAGAGGAGATTATGAAGCAGGTTCAGTGTCTAGCTCATTCTTCACAATTGGATCCTGTTGGGGTTTCTGCATTGATGGCCTCTTAGTCATTATTATCCCAATCAAACCAGTTTTTATGATGATATTCCATATCCTATTTTCATCACTACATGAAATGTAGTATTGAAAGGACCGGGCATCTTTCATGAAGCACAACAGCACATTGATAACTGTGCAGGTTAACTCCTGATCCAATCTCAGGCCTTGTTTCTTACTTAATGTTTTTTTCCCTAGACCAGCAGGCTTTCCCTCATCAGGCTGACGATGTGTCGCTTCACACATACCACTCAAGACTTCTGTACAGTATAAAATAGAAGATCAAAAGCAGGTAGGAAAAAAGGAGTAAGGGAATGAAATGAATATTGAAGGAGATGTAGCTGGAAGGAAACAAAAGTCTATAAAAGATGAGCTCAAGTTTCATGTTGGTGATGATTAGTCTTGCAAAACTTTCTGAGGCCTGTGGAAGCATTCGCTTGTCTAAAATACAGTTGTTGTTTTTTTTTTTTTTTCCAAAGACTTCTCATAATGAGCAACTCTTCTCTCATTTGAAGGACTGAATCTTTTCTGAAAAAGTTTGGTAAGGCCAGGCATTTGAACATTCAGTCACATGCGGCGGAACCAGGCACATGGAGGACAGCTGACTGCACAGAACCAGGGACTTGGGTAAGTGCCCAGCACCGAGGCCACCTAACCTGACTGCACATGCTCCTTTTTAAATAAGCATGGAAAATTCACTTTAATTTAATGTTTTTAATGACACAAGGCAACCTATTCTGGTGGTGTGGTTCAAGCGATGGGTGAGTGTTGGGCTGGGAATTATCTTAAACACAGCAAAAGGAAGTGAAAATCATCTTCCCATATCTGGGAACAGGAAGATAGAAACCAATTTTTTATTTTGTGAACTATAATCCCATCCCAAATATTTTGATTAGATTTGGGGAAAGGACTGACACTTTGGGCAGCTTCTTCAATTCTGAGGTTAGAGCTTGAGGTCAGAAGTTGCACAGGTTTTACCACATCATTTTGTTCCAAACTCCAGGCCCATCCATGGCCCACCACCAGTGGGCTTCAGCTCACAGACGTTCCATTAATGGAAGCAAGGAGACAATTTAGATTTGAGATTTCTTATCAGGGTTCTATCATACCGAAAAAAGCTGACTGAACATGGCATCATCTCTAATTATAAAAATGATATGATAATTGAAGATAATTATGATTTGGTTTTCTTTTAAATGAAAATTATTTTCAAGATTAGCCTAGTATTAGAATTATCATGGAATCTCATGTAACCTGGGAGAAATCATCCATAACTTAGAGGAAACATTGTGATTTCCATTTCTTGGGTCATCTCTAAGGCTCCTTTCCAAGATTGCCTTTGGTAAAA